CCCGAAAAGTGAACATGTTGCATTGTTTTTTGTTGCATTGAGATTTAATTTCTTTTGATAGTATTTTTGAATACTATGCGTCTCTATACATAATTTAAATCACTTTTCTTGTTAAGTTTGTGTACTTACATACATTAAAATACGATTTTTCAAGTGTACGAATATTTATTTTCCCCCACTGTATGTGAAGTTTCATGATAATCGGATAATAACTGTAGAAGTTTTTCCGGAGGGTAGCCGGTCCCCTTAATGACTCCTGCAATGACTTAGACTAGAGCTAGAGGTTGCCAAATCGTCTCGATCGCCTGTAAATCGAGCGCCAAAAGGTAAATAATGCAACTAAAATATAATAGAAATAAAAGTCAATCGATACAATGTCGATTGACTTCCCCTCTCCCCGCACTAACACTAGAATTCGATAAAGCAACGTCGGAATTATTCTTATGGACCCTTTATGATCGCTCAAAATTCTAGTCGTAATTCATATAGTGGCAGTTAAGAAACTACAATCGACGTCAACGGTAAATGAACCTACCAATTTGAGCCATGACCCAATATTTAGTTATAGATCACGATTCAACTAATATTATTTCAAGTTAAAAGAGGGCTAGCAGACGCGCTGAAAAATATCTGTAATGTAGATGTGTTTCAATCTACGTGCCCTGAATAACATATACAGCTGAGTGCGTGCGCACACCATGCGATGAACAAAACTTCCTCACACGTTATAATTTGCTAACGGTGTATGCTGGCCACCTAGGACGTTAGATAAGTCAGGTATGAGTAGTATTAGTTCAAATATGCATTTTCATTTGTAACATAAGGAGTTAAGTGGAAAAAATTCTTAATGAATTAAGGCTCGGGATGTCAGAAACGCTTAGCCTCACCAGGTGCAGATTATACAGGCCACATGAGGCCTATTATTCAGCGCCGACATCACTATGATATTACTGTGATAATTTTAATTATCTATTCACGTAACAGTCTTAGCTTATGTAAAGGTGATTCTAAAATTAGCTACAATCAACCATTTTATAAACTAATTCATTTACAACTAAAGCACGACTGGATTTTGACATTCGGAACCAAACACGAAAGTATAGTCAATTGAAAAGCCTAACTATCCTCAAAGGCAGTTTAATGTTAAACTACACTTGTTAGCTAAAGGCAGTAAGGTGAACCAACACATGCTATCGACATGACCATGTCAAGAACAAGTCATCAGGGTCTCTGGAATTTGACATCGCACGTTCACGTCATTTCCAGATATTTTACTCGCGGTTTCTATGCATTTACAAGCGTGTGAGTGGACTCAGTTACTCTGCTCGTTTTGACCTCGAGGAATTCTTGTCACGCGAGGCGCTTCAGTGAGACTTACGACAATTGTTGATGAATAATGTGAGCATTTCGTTCATATTATTTGATGAATTGTGTTGAGGGCTAACATGCCAACACCAAATCAACTGTTGATCGTTTAGTTCAAGAGATTCGTATGAACTGTTAAGAATGGAAAGCCGCTGTATAATTTATGTTTTCATGATATAATTAAAATATTTCTCGTTGAAATCGATGTGTATCGTTTGATTTTATATTCTAATTGTGTGAACTCGATTTTGCCGACGATTATTCTAGTGACGCGACGGGTTCAATTTGTGTCTTTCCTTGAAGAACAATGAACAAGTGTGAGAATGAACAAGTGTGATGAACTAAAATAGGATGATATACCTAAACCAAACTAATTCTCAGTAATTAACTAAGCGATGACCCACTATCAAAAATTAATCCTTATTGTACCGTTATTGAAAACATCGTCAACACTTAACTTCGCTCTACTGTTCAGTCATGGCCATAACATTCATACGGTGCATTTTGCTGAAGCTGAGCAATTCTTCCACCCTTTGTAAAACTGTTTTACAAGTATACACCTTATTTCAGACGCACACTTTGTAAATGAAGATAATTCAAATGAAATTGATACTTACTTTTTAAGTTTGTTTCATTAAAATTTTCTCCTATCATTAATTCTTCCAGGAAATGTGTTGTTTTAATTAAATTCAAAAAAATATTTTTTCGATCCTGGAAACCAGTAAAGCAAAAGTAATATAAGTGATGTGAACTGAAGTGAACATTGTCTTGCCTTTAGTGAATGAATGGAAAAATAATGCATTGTTGTATTGTATGCTGTCTAAAGAAGAATTGGAATAGAATTTTTCACATCAATAACGGAAAAAAGCGATGCATGATAGTATTGACGCGGAACTGTTATCTGGTTAGACAAAATTTTGCGTTACATTAACTGTAATTGAGCGGTGATTATTATGCATTATTATTATTATTATTTTAATACATAATACATATCATTATGATGGTAATTATGACGTATTCCTAATTATCTCCTATCATTTGACAGCGCTCAGTAACTCAGGTAGTGTAGAGAACATGAGAAGCTGGAATTACAGCAGCGTATGTTCGCTGCCCTGATCTTGTTATCCTCTGAACTGCAGCTTTCGATTTTCATGCGGGAAAAACTAATTTTTTCTGATTGGATTCCAATGAAGATAAAGTTTACTATACAAATTCATGTTTAATACACGTCAGTTACAACGACAGTCGTGCCTTTTATTTGCATGTAAATTATTATGCTTTGAAAATTGTTAAAGTTAAAAGACTGCGAAGATTTCTGACTAATGCTGCCGAATCAAGATAATGAAATATATTATACGATTTGAAGAGTATTTATTTTCATCACTCTGTTAAAACAGTGCAAATACAGTGTATTTGTGCACGAATTATGAAATTTCTCTTTAAAATCTTTCTGATTAAAGGCAAATCAGTCTACAGAAAAGTTATTGACCGAATTTGAATGTCATAACTGCGGATATGTTTTCGTCATAAGAAAAATAAACTACAAAACAAAAAGTTAATAAGCAAATTAATGCCATAAAGTGTGTACAAAAGCTCTATGTATTCTTAATTGTGAATAAACATAATTTGAATTTTGAAAATTTTTCAATTCCCTCTTTAATTTTGGAAAGCTGAAATAATTGACTTTATTTACGGATCTTATGCTAGCTCGTATACATAGTTTAAGTGCATTTTGGTTTCATAGCATTTGTATATTAGACTAATTTTTAAAAATGGACTGTCTATGAAGAATTCATTTAATTTTTCCGTGTTTGTTCCTCCAGAATTTACTAAGAGTACGTAATTTTGCACATAGAAGTAATTCGCATTGCTGATAAATCCGCAGTAATAACATACGTTGAAATAAATGATATACCAAATACACCTACGTTTTCTTGAAGGTTTAAATATCTTAGGCTATTGTATTTGGACTTTAAAATCCAAGCAAGTGCGTCAGTCACTAAAAAAGTAATTTAAACTCCCATCGCCCCTGCCTGACTCATTTTCTAAACTATAAAGTGGACACGGTGAAAAAGTTTACTGAGTAATTGTTATACACGCACTTAGGTGCCCAACACGTGCCAAGGTTGTGATCAATGCATTTCTTAAGCTGTAAGGCATTATAGCAAAACTTATGTAGCTTGACATTCTGATAGTGAAATTAAAATAACAGTAATCGTGTGGCGGATCATCTTGCTTCCTGCTTTTTTCGTAGATTTTCAAAATAACCTTTGAAACAACATAGAAGTTCTTCATCTACATAAACTGAAGAATTGGTGACAAAAAATTGCAATGAATTCACCCTCCACACGAGAAGCCTCGTCTTAGCCTTAAGTTCACTAGCCTCTTGATAGTTAGGCGCAGTTTCGCCATGCATACGATAGCGAGGCAATCAACTCGACTATTTGTTCAGTTGTGAGCAGAACATTTGCTTGTCACGCGAGGGCACTTCAGAGACTTATATAGTCACCTCAAATGAACTATCAATATTGTATTTACTGGCCTCTTGGTTGTTACGTACAGTTCCGCTGAACTGTCAATACTGTACTTACTCTCAATATTGTATTTAATATATTTCTGTAGAGACTCCAAATGAAGACTAAAATTTCGGGATACTAGAAGTATTACCCCAATAATATAAATGACACGTAATTATTCTGAAATGCTACAGCCTCATTATTAATCCGAAACGAAGCTCAATTCCTTTGTTCGGATTCAGAATTCATAGAGGTTTTGATGCTACTTATTATAAGTTTTAATAGCTAATATAAGTTAATCAAGTTTTATATTAGTAATGTAATAAGGTTACATTAACAATAAAATGACTTCTACAGAACCACGAGGATCAACGATAAAACATTGTTTCGCTTCTAGAAGTCTACACACGTCTTGACTCATTTCTAAACAAAGCCACATAATTATTAAACATGTATGAAATTAGTATGGTTTATCGAAATATCTTCTCATATTTAGTTCATTTGGGTTACTCCGCAATATTGCAAGATCTGTAATCACGTTTGACAATAATAGATACGTGAATACGTTTGAAGGAATATCATTATTGCTAACAAAAGTTCAGGTTGTTTCGCCGTTGATTGAAGGGTTTGGCATGACACATAAAAAAACAAATTCCTAACCCGAACCTACTTCGGCATGACACATAAAAAATTCTTATCTACTAAAACTGAACTACCTCATTTTCTACCAAGTAATTAGTACATAGTTTTCTTAACCACAGTTTTTTGGAATGGCCAGATCAGCTTGCTCATCACGCTGCATTAACTTCGAGGAAATCAATAACTAAACGCTGGGTCAGGAACATTCTCCGCTGTCAATTTCAGGCTCTTTGCAGAGACCACGGCTCACATCGAAGCCGTCACGATTTTGTCGGTGATGGCCTGTCACCGTCTCGATACGTTGACAGACTAATTGGGAGACCGTAACTAAACAAGGGGTAGTCCAATGTCCCCCACTGGTTTAACTCAAGTATCACTCATCAATATATTAAACAGGTGCGTGAAGAAGTATAAGTACTTATATCATTAACTTTTCTTAAAAAAACGTTTTAATAAAACGTTCTCATAAACGTCTTATATAAACGTTTTTTCAACGTTTTAATGAAACGTTTTATAAAAACGTTTTACATTAATGAACATTTCACCGACTCAACAGACAGTCAAAATCAATGCTTTGTCTTTGGTATCATGTGTCGCGGTAAGAATATAAAGTTCGCAAAAACCCATCGTAAATTTATTAAAGCGCGTCAGGGAACAATCGAATAGGAATAGAAGTGAGTTTTTAACGTGACTTATTCAATCTCAACCTGCGACCCCGGTTGTTTACCGATTAGTTATAGCAGGGCGACAAAAGTGTTAACTTCGCCAATATAACGCTGAAGATTCTCCGATGATCTTAATCTTCTTTTACTTGTGCTTATACAGTAGTATTTAAACGGTTAATATACTACCTTGAAAGTAGACAATATATGTAAATTTATTACTATCATGATAGGCCCAGTTTTTATTTAAAAGTCATTGTCGATCAAAATTGTAAATTTATTTTTAAACATCTGTGTCGGCACGAACAATTCGGATGCCGAAATGGAAGAAAGAGCTTGTGCACAATCTTCTGCAATTGTCGAGTGCCTTCATGAAGAGAAGAAGAATTGTGTTATTTTCGTATTATCAGTATACGTTTTCATCAGTATAATGTGCTGCAGAACGAGGTTGCCTTATGGTATATGCCTCACGATCTATGGTGAAAGCCGCTTGACCAACTTCACATGCAAAGTTACAGAGCTGACAAAGCCCCACACATGAAGTAATTTGCCGTGGCACAGCCCACATCCGCTAACTTGGCATCAGAGGTGTAGAGATGACCGCAGAAGTCGCCGTCGGGTTGTCCAGGATACCAGTCCGGCATAGTGTACGGGTTCCTGAAGCTGTTGAGCCACACCCACTGTCCATTGATCTTGTAGCTGCCAACCCACAACCACTCACCTGCACACATAGGATAACAGGTTAAACTCACTATATTCTTGCTTAATTATTATTGAGAGGCGTCACGATGAGGCGATGGACCTCGTTGTGCTCCTCTGAGACAGCCACTTCTAGTACAAGCCACCAAGATCTAAATTCTAAAGTAATCTCACATGACTGAGGGTACAAAAAGTTATCACTTTGATTAATTGCCCATTCACCGAGATGACCTCATACACGAGCGAGCACTTCATCAGTGCGAACACGTCCAATCCATCTACGCAAGATAAAAAACAATTTTTTTCAATTCTTCGGTTGAGTTTTACGTTTCATTATTCAGAAACAGACTTTTTATCTTTTCTTTGATGAGGTTTCTCAAGCCTTTAGACTTAATTTTTGATCCTATTTTACTAGTTAGTTTTCTAAGAGGTTGTTTTTTTTCTCAAAATGTTGTGGCGGATCTCCTCAGGAATTTTACTTTGCAATGCGTAATTGAACATTAGGAAATGCTCCCCAAATAGTAAACAAAGCTTTACCAACAGTTTATTGTCAAATTTTCAGTGGTCACATAAATTTTCTCATTAGTTAGCCATCCATATAGGCCAGCGATATGTTGAAATTAGCACCGGACATAGAAGGCGCTAATTCTATACAGATTTAGCGCAAAACGGAATGCAAAGATGTACGGGCTGCAGGTTTAGATGCAGATACAAGCTTCTCGAGATCAAAAGCGAAGTTCTCTCTAAAAAATATCATCAAGACATAATTTGAAAAATTTAGGATATTTGTATTAGGCCTGGCGATTTTTTCTGATACCATGCAAAGTTTTATAATTTATCACTGATTGTGAAATTTGCATTCGAACGGAATAACTGGAAATGTAAACATTTCTAGAGTGACGTGAATCTAAACATTTTTTGGGCGACGTGAAATTCACTTTTCACAACGTGATGTTATATTTCACTCATGCATTTTTATGGTTTTTTCAATTATGGTTCTAATTGAAGAATCTCGGTCCTACAAATTTCATGTTCCATATAGTTTGCTTGAGAAATCAAGAAGATTTTCATTAACCTAGAGCCTACGAGAACCAAAGAAAACCCACATCGAGTGGGCCAGTGTCTTCCTTCCTATCGTTTCTGCCGACCCATCTGTCAGTCTTCCTCCCTATATTTTCTTCCGACACACTTGTCATTCTGCCTTCCTATATTTTCTCCGACACACCTGGCATTCTTCCTAACTATCTTTTCTGCCGACACACTTGTCATTCTTCCTTCCTATATTTTCTTCCGACACACTAGTCATTCTTCCTTCCTATATTTTCTTCCGACACACCTGGCATTCTTCTTACTATCTTTTCTGCCGACACACTTGTCATTCTTCCTTCCTCTTTTTCTGCCAACTCACCTGTCATTCCGAATGACTTCCAGAACGCTTGCATTTGCGCGAAGTCTTGGTCGGAGCGCGCAAAGGCGAGGTCAGCTCCCAGAGACAGGCAGTATGCACGCGCGTAGCACCAGTTTTTCTTATTCGCCGTGTAAACCATGAGACACATGCCACCAGAGACAGTGAAAGGGGAAGTGCAGTTCTGAAGAGGCGCGACTGGTTCTACAAGTAAAAGAGTCAAGTTTTGCAGTAGTTGCTCTGGTCGTCGAATTATACATCCTAAAAAACATGTCAGAAGTATTTATATCATTAGAGTACCCAAATATAAAATTAAATAACAATGCAGAAGCAGATAAATATCAGATAAATTCGCTATAATTTCATTGAAATTTTGTGCCTCTTCATTTGAGATCGTAGTGCCAGCAAAATTTTTTTTTAGCTTTATAACTCATTATTACATCCCAGATTGACGTCAACAGAATAACTCAACTTATTGATGGTTGTATCAAAAGTGATATACTCCCTTATATACTGATTTCATAATTTACCACCATTTCTTTGGATTCAGCGACAAACCAAATCGTCAGTTTGAAATTATTAGAATATACGTATAATAATTCGAGACATAAAAACTTACACGAAGAAAATTAGAACCTACTTATCCAGATAAAAAGGTCAAGTTATATTAATAACTTTATAATCATAAATTTTTAGTGTATAAAAACAAAAAGCGAATAAAATTCTTAATTATGAGGCTCAAGGTGCCTAAAATCTAATAGCTCCCGCGGTCACAAAAATGTCGGACTGTTGAGCATGGACGCTAACGTCAGATTGACTGCCACGTTGTTCGTATAATCGTATAATGGAGTTTCGAGATGTCATTCCCACGCAGGTTGATGCGCACTGCGCACAACTGTACCCGTTAACAAGAGAATACCTAATATCCGCCCAGGACTTCATCCTTAAACCTGAAGCAGGAACCAATTAGGAAATTGGTTAGTCATGCAAGTCAATGTTTGGAAAAAAGGAAAAGAGTAATTCATAGTTTTCCTGCCATCTACCGCAGGAACGACTGTAGAAGCAAGCACATGAAAACAAACATCTTCATTTGAGTAATGGCAATATTTCTCAGAAACTCGTTCAGATATACATATGAATACAGGCAAATTAGTATTGCGCAACATGGAAGTAGGGGCACATTCGACAGCCACGGTTTGTCAATGTATGAATCCCATTTAATTTAAATCTAAACTTGCAAAGTTTCAAGATGCTCGTAACCAATACCATGAAAATAAGCTTTCGACATTTTTTCGGTTATCTTAATTCGAAACCATCTCTGATAAATTTATCATATAGCTGGGATCCAACATTAACTTGCTGTTTCTCTATTGTAAAGTGACTAAATATTAGGCTCCCTTTCAGTCATCTGTGTTCGGACTACCTACTTTCACAGGTTTGGGTACGAAATTTTTTATTTTCAATTCAATTCGTTCAAATTGATACACTGCGGCTATAGTAATTGTTTCAACCTCCAGTTTAGCCGTTGTAAATTTACATTTATTCGTGATACAGTATGTTCTATTTGAATGAATTTCCTTTAAATTTTGTGTGACTCAAAGTATGAAGCTTATATCTAAGCGATTTACTTATGTCGAATACGAAGTTGATAATAGGAAAATTATTTATTGCACACTTTGCCATATTGTGTTCACACTTGCCATATTGTGTTTTCGAAAGTTAACTTATGCTATTGATCAATAATTTGTGAATTAATTCCTTATTCAGTTATAGGGATGTTATTCCTCCCCGGATGCGCCTCTCTGTTTTTCTAGTACAGTTGCGTGTAGTGTGTAACTTGGACACGACATTTAACGAGCACAGCTAAAGGAGTTATCATTCTGGAGTTCCGCTAGCTCGCCCTCCTCATTCTGCCGAATATCAATTATCATTCGCTAAAAGCAAAAGCAAAATTTCTACTGAAATTGTTTAAGGTAACGTACACTGATCATACTGCGCTTAAACTATATTTGAGAATTTAGAGACACCAGCTTTAGGATCGCACTTTAATTACATTGACTAATCGCTGCAATCGTTTGAAACCGTTTGCCCCGACTATAAGTCATTGAAAAGTCTCGGACGGTTAAGACAAGACCGCGCAGACATATCTCAGACTTTTCACGCAAATGCATTCCAGATCTGCCCCCCTTTGTGTCGTTCGCATGCACTTCAATACGGAAAGATAGAGAGCTTTAGATCGGCGGCGGGATATGGCGTGGACCGACTATGCTAAACTCGGCGCTACAGGCAGCTCACGAACGCCTGACATTTGGCCTGAAAAAGAAGATCGGAACTGGAAGATTAGATTGGTGTCAGGAAGAGTGTCAGTATCCGGCAGTTGTTCCGCATTAGCCCGCAATCCACGCGTTAACTCGACTGGTATCAATGTTCTAGTCCATCGATTGCCCGAAATGTTATATTGGAACCCGGAATTTGCAACTTTGGAAATCAACGTCAATTGTAAATATTCCACTCAGAGCACGACAGTTCGGACTTCGCTCTTATATAAAGGTCGGTTCGAAACCGGACAACAGCAATGATCGGATATTAATTTTTATACCGAATAAGTGCACACATAAAAAGAGTCGCAACCCATGACTATGGAGAAAGAACAGCTACGTATTACTGATTAATTAACGCTGTTCACTATAAAACTAAAGCGAAAGGTTCACGCGAAGTAAAGTAAAGATCTAGTGCCTATAGTGGTTTCTTCTCCCTGAACACCTTAGAAAATGATGCCAAAAATTTAACTGTTATTTCTTCAATTGCTATATCAGCTCCTCCTTATTTCTTACTATTCACGTCCACGATGCCACTGGGCAGACACACGTCCTGCAGGTTCGTGCAGAACGGGTTGGCTCGCATTTCTCCGACCTTCAGGAGGGAATTTCCCGGCAGGACACAAGCTGCAGAAAAGGAGGTGTGTGATGAGCGGCTTTTGGCAAGTTTGATAGTTCAATAACTCGAAATATTTCAAATTATAACATCACACTGTCGATTTCTTGTATTGTGATCAGGTCCACTAAAGACTTTAATTCCAATTTTTTTATCTCTATGCACAGTCGCATTCAAGGAATGCTGCTCTAAACTGTCCTTGCAACACGTAAAGGAAAAAAATAATCCTTTTCGACCTTGCTTTCTTCAGTCAGGTGATCCAGGCCCTAGGATGCTGTCGTGTATCTATAAAATAAGTTCAAATTGGCCATTTGCATCATCTTGCAAACCTTAAAAACGCGCAAAGGAAAATTAAATGGCAATTTGTTTTAAATGAAGTAAACTAGGCAATTAAATTTAATTTTATTTTTAATGAACTAACTATCGATTATTGAGAGGAAAACATTCTAACAATAAAGAATTATCAAACATCAATCGGCGAAAATATTCTATTCAAATCTATACACGAAGAAAAACGCGCTCACAAACTCAAAAATATTGTGAATTGCTCAACGTTTACTGATGCCGATTAGACCGCCATGCGCAATTTTAAGTGGACATCAACGGCGTGAACGAGACAATCTAATTTTTAATGATTTATCTTGAGACTTAAGTTAAAAAAAATTGCCAAACCTAAAGTTATTTGTAACACTATCAATTATACTATTTTAACTTTTAAAATTTTGAACCTATTTTCTGAGAAATACTCATTGTCTGCATTTGTGTAGCAGCAAAAGATGTGCGGCAAAACGACAATGCAACGCACTTGCCGTTCAGTCAACACTGACATGTGCGAGCAGCGAAATAGGTTCTCCAGAATTTTCAGATTGGAGTTAAGCGCTCATACAGCGACACAAGATCTTATATTTATCAAATATTTACAAGGTACATGTAGACTGAGCAAAGGAGGGTCAAATGAGTCAAATACAACGATGGTGAATGGGTTAGACATTATTGTAAAAATATTAACATTTCAACTTTCCACTGAAATTTATTCGGTCTGAGCATTATTCAAAGTGACATAATAGTTTAGAGAAGACGTGTCAAAATTAAGAACTTCATGAAGGTATAGCCGCTCATAAATTCGACATACTGACCGTCAGTCCCGAAGACAGCCAAGCAGTTGTTTGACTCTGATGAGACCGTCAGGTTCACCTGCCCATTTCTGATGGGCTTGTCATCCCACAGGGTGCAGTTCCCCGACAAACCAATAAGAGGAGTGTAACAGGCTATGAAAGCCCAGTCTTTTGTAGAAGCCCAGCTCCAGCATTGTGTTCGGGACCCAAGGATGCGGGAGCTGTTTTGACCCGTCATACCCTTCAAAGTGGACAACACGGCAGGGTCTGCAGACACCGGCTTCCAGTCCTTATAGCGACACAGTCCCTCCTGCCCCAGCCCCAGCAAGCACATCGTAAGAGTTACTACAACGCGCATCTTGTGTACGGATAGTCCAGTCTACTTCAGTAGAAATTAATTTCAGTTCGTGGATCTCAATATTATGATGCTCCCTCTGTAGCTGGTGCTATAGAACGCAGGCAACGAACTGGTTCGTGATGATGCGCAATAGTGAGTAATTATGTCCTAAATCATCGATAACAGAAAATGTTCTTGCTTATGGCTTCATGGAAGTGACAAATGTTCTTCTTCTACCATATATATTTCTTTACGGACTGCGTGCAGCTGACTGCACGCGTGCACTGCCACGTTCGCGTCACTGCGAAAACTGGTCGCAGATCAACTGTCCAGACTTCAGGTCGCGTAAGTGAAGCCATGCATGTCTGAAATTGTGCCAAATCGGCTTAGTCATTTATTCAGTAGGTTTTAGATTAGTTTTCGTCGTACGATAAGAAAACCGTGTCAACATGAAAGCTCGATTAAAACTAAGTCGCTCGTGACAAATATGGAGTAGTAAATTGCGCCTTCCCTGTACCTGGGTTACATCAAATTTTTATAGAATTGTGAAATTTTTTACAATATAAAATTATAATACAATATATTATATTATAATATAATATATATAATAATATATAATATTATTATTATAATATGATTAATAACATATTATATATATTAATAATATATATTAAATATTATAATTATATTACTGATGAATATAATATAATATAATATAATATAATATAATTAAATATAATTAAATATAATATAATATATGCTCTAAATCCAAGTAAATATTTCTTACCCCCTTAACTTTTATCTAGGTGCTCATTCTACATAGTTTGACAGTTTGAAAATGGAATTAAAATAACAGAACTTCTTGTCGCGGATCATCTTACATATCCAGCTCACATCGTAGACCTTCATAGACAACGCCTATAATCATTCGTGACATGCGAACCAACCCGGAAGTTCTTCATCTACATGAACTGAAGAATTGGTCGCAGAAAATATGTAATGGATTTACTCTCCAAATGAGAAGCCGTGCCTCAGCTTATAGCTACAAGTTTAATGGCATATAGATTGTTATATGCAGTTACGCTGCATACGATAGCAAGGCAATCAACTCGACTCGGTTCAGTTGAGAGCAGAACATTTGCTTGTCACGCGAGGGCAAAAATGAAACTTGAGCAACCTCATCTGTACTATAATTTTTAATTTTATATATTTTTGTAGAGACGCCGGATGAAATCGTTTGTACTCCCAGTTATCACTAAGCTTATGCATATTTGTTAATAAAGCTCATGTATTGGTTAGTTTCAATCATAAGCACCTCATAAATTGGGGCTGTCCGGCCGGAGTTGTGTCCACCTTCTCATCGTGACGGGTTGTTCTCTGGTTCTGAAATTTTATTCGTGAAGGCAATTCATAAGCATTTAAACTATGCAGTTTGTTTGATGAATTATTAAATTGAAATTTGACACTTGTTTCCGTTCTTTAAATTCTTACTCGACAATAAAACGTCAAAATTTCGTTCAGAACTTCATACTGGAAGCTGAATGGGAGTTAAATGCTAAACTGGACACTGGATTCTGGATGACGGTATTCGGAATAACTGAATTCGGGATACAGAATGATGGAATACGGGATTATAAAATTGCAGAGTTGAAGGGTAGAAGCATAAAAACTAGATTTGTTCGATTTATATTTGTTAATAATTTTAAGGAGACACCTAATTTATTTTCCGAAAAATGTGCGGATTTCGACACCTGCAGCGTCTCCAATGGATTACAAAAGATTGTAATTGATGGTTTCGTGTAGACTATTCAAGTTTGGAAAATAGTTTTCTGTTCTTATAAACTGGGTAGAATCCCGCGATATGCCCGAATTTCTTCCACTCTACGGCGAACTTTTGCGAAAAATGTGGTAAGTTATAGGGTGAGAAAACATTGAATTAACGGTGAATTTATATCAATTCAGTATGACATTCGTAGCATTTCACGCTGAATATTCATTCTTACACACAAGTGAGAGTTGAACAATAAATACTCGAGATAATACGATATAGCATGTATAATGGCATTTCAAGGCGTATGCATTCTGGCTTGTGAACACTTCAATCGAAAACCTGATAGATGAATATTATCCAGAGAAGTTTATGATGAGTTCAGGTCGATCAATCTGAAATTGTCGGAATTTGATACAAGGGGTCACTCAATACATAACTCTATGAAAACTGATGAAAACGTATAATGTTAAATTGCATTTTTAGAAAACTATCTTCATGTTAAATACATGTCAAAAATAACCAAAAATGAGGATGTACATGAATTTAATTGAAATTATAGATATTCTATAACTATGAAAGCTGTGCTATAATTATGATAGCATGAAATAATTATGATAGCTGATCTATAATTATGAAAGCTGTACTATAATTATGATAGCTGTGCTATAATTATGATAGCTGTGCTATAATTATGAAAGCTGTGCTATAATTATGATAGCTGTGCTACAATTATGATAGCTGTGCTATAATTATGATAGCTGTGCAGAAATGGAAAGATAAGCTGTGCACTAACTTATGCAATTTTTCTCTTAGGGATATTTTAACGTGAAAACAGGGTTGATAACTGCAAGAAAATTCAAGTCTTATTTTTTCGATTACCAATATCTATTGCATGCACATAAAAATAATTTCTTCCTACATAGCGCTACTGTGTTCAGCAATGTACTGTAGCATGAGGTTAAATTTTTTTATAACCACGCGACCAACGATGAAAGCCTCTTTACCAGCTTCACATGTCAAAGCTATTGAGAGAACAGAGCTCCACACATGAAGACATGTAATTAAGCACAGTCCACATCCGCTAACTTGGCATCAGAGAGGTAGAGATGACCGCAGTCGCCGCTGTCAGGCTGTCCAGGATACCAGTCCGGCATAGTCCACGGGTTCCTGTAGCTGTTGAGCCACACCCACTGTCCAGTGATCTTACAGCTTAATGGTACCGACCACACACAATGGTACTGACCACAAGTACTGACCAGCACACATAGTACAACAGGTTCAATTGACTGCCCATATAATACTTATTCAGAGGCACCACAAGACGAGTGACCGCGCACAATGGTTTCTGCTCCTCTGATGTAACCACTGTGGGTACTTGCTACGAAAATTAAATTTAATTTCACTCCAATGAGAGACCAAAATTTAGTTCACTGATTAGCAGCACATTCACCGGAATCACCTCGTACACTCACGAGCGCAACAACAGAGCGAGCCCCTCCCATGTACAACAGCTTAAAAATCTAAATTACGCTATGCTTTGCTAAATTAAAAATCTTCTGTCCTACAAATCCGAGAGTAAAATGTACTTTGTTTTATAAAACACAAAGTTCGATCTCAAACAGGAGCCTACAGGAATATAAGAATATAAGTAGAAATCCCTATCAAAAAGCATGCAATATCGTTATTCAATAACAGTTACTCTCTTTTCTGCCGACTCACTTGTCAAACCGAATGACTCAGAACGCTTGCATTTGCGCAAAGTCTTGGTCGGAGCTCGCGGTGTCGAGGTCTGCTCCCAGCGACAGACATGATCGATGCGCGCGCTTCGCACCAATTCTTTGTGACATATTTGACAAAGTAATCACATTTCTAACGTTTAACAAGCCATGCGGGTAAATTTTTCAAAATGTACCTAGTTTGATTTCGACCATGGATATGACCTGAAAACGCATTTCCGTTTCTTTTTTGTCTCTTCTAACCTTTTCTGTAAAGAATGAAATAAAATTTGAAGGAATGTAAAATGGAAATATAGCTTTTGACATTGCCGGCAAAGTTTCAAAAGTTTCTTTGACATCAAAGAAGATTCCATGAGGCTCGCCCGCGCCTTGAATCAGTCTTCAAAGTTAGCTTGGATTTTGATCGTTTTTCAAGAACTCCCTTTGGTCAAGTTAGTGTTAAACGGCTGTTATGGTAAAGCTAGACTCCCATATACGTATATCTTTAGTGTAATTACAAGGCATTACTCGGGACATAAACCTAAGTCAACACGTTGATTCCGATTGCTTTTACTACTATTATTTCATTACTATTGCGTACTATTATTTCATTTTTGTACTATAATGAAACAGGGTTGCCAGACGGTCTTTGTTCGTACAAATTTCGCGTTTTAGTTTTTTAAAATGCGTTGGCCGGCTAAAAATTATGATGGGGGTTCCTTCCTAATCAAATCTAATAAAAATGGAGGTTTTACACCGGAACTTACAAATGTACAAGTATATATTGAGTTACAGGCCTTTTTTGTTTTGGCCTCTTTTTTTCGCGGACTTGGCCGTTTTTTAGGCCATCTGTCAGCACTGAATTATATGTACCACTACGTCCTGGAGAAATAAATTTCGTGGTACTCATATGTTCCACTTTGGAGTTAACGTGTTAATCAAGGAACACTTGAGTTCCATCATGCCCTCATAATCTCTGGATGACGTGCCTACAGTGCTCGTGATACGAGCTCGTCATATCGCGGGTGACAGGCTTGAGCCCATTCGGCCTCAGGTACGAGGTCGTCTTATCGCGGGTGACAGGCTTGAGCCCTTTAGACCTCAGGTACGAGCTCGTCATATCGCGGGTGACAGGCTTGAGCCCATTCGGCCTCAGGTACGAGCTCGTCATATCGTGGGTGACAGGCTTGAGCCCATTCGGCCTCAGGTACGAGGTCGTCTTATCGCGGGTGACAGGCTTGAGCCCTTTAGACCTCAGGTACGAGCACGTCATATCGCGGATGACATGCTTGAGACCATTAGACCTCAGGTGCGAGCTCGTCATATCGTGGGTGACAGGCTTGAGCCCATTCGGCTCAGGTACGAGCTCGTCATATCGCGGGTGACAGGATTGAGACCATTAGACCTCAGGTGCGAGCTTGTCATATCGTGGGTGACAGGCTTGAGCCCATTCGGCTCAGGCACGAGCTCGTCATATCGCGGATGTTAGGCTTGAGACCATTAGACCTCAGGTGCGAGCTCGTCGTATCGTGGGTAACAGGATTGAGACCATTAGACCTCAGGTGCGAGGTCGTCATATCGTGGGTGACAGGCTTGAGCCAATTTGGCCTCAGGTACGAGGTCGTCATATCGCGGGTGACGGGCTTGAGCCCATTAGACCTCAGGTGCGAGCTCGTCATATCGTGGGTGACAGGCTTGAGCCCTTTAGACCTC